GGATACAGGGTGCAAGGAAGAGGGATGCAGAGTGGGAGCCAGGCATCAAGAATCAGAATTTACAGGCAGCCACAGGAGTGTTCTATCAGATTCAGCCATGGGAAGAGGGAAAGTGGGAAGGGCATTGAGCTGGTCCTGACAATCTGACATTCTGGGTTGCAGGTCTTGCTTGTCTCTGTTATAATTGCCTTTGTGGGAGTGAACATTGTGCAGGCTTACTCTGTTCCAGATGCGGAGCCAATAGAACCTATTGATAAAGCGGAGAGCTCCAGGTTGGGTACTGTGGTTCACACCTGTAATCCCAGCACTTTGGGAGGCTGAGGCAGGAGGATCGCTTAAGGTCAGGAGTTCAAGACCAGCCTGGCCAACATGGTGAAATCCCATCTCTACTAAAAATACAAAAAGTAGCCAGCTGTGGTGGTGGGTGCCTGTAATCTCAGTCACTCAGAAGGCTCAGGCAAGAGAATCACTTGAACCCAGGAGGTGGAGGTTGCAGGGAGCTGAGATTGTACCACTGCATTCCAGACTGTGAGATTGGACTGAGACCCTGACTCCAAAAGAAAAGAGGAGAGCTCCAGACACTGCTGAGGTCTGAGCCCCAGCTCTGCCACCTACTAGCTAAGTGGCCAGAGCAAGAAACAGCCCCATTGTGTCTCAGTCTCCTCACCCAGGAGATGCAAATGATAATAGCACCAGTAACAGCTTCCATTAGCATGTTGTGAGGATGAAAGACTTGGATAAACCCAGGGTTTAGCACATAGTAAGTATTATGTAAGCAACAGGTATTGGTCATGGCTGTAGCATCAGCTGAGTGCTATGTATTACTGCTACACATATTGTCTCATTTAATCCACATTAAGATCCAAGCAAGTCTATTATCCCTATGTTACAGATGAAAAAATCAAAACTACATCGAGGCTCAGGAGGTAAAGCAATTGACTGAAGGTAACACAGCTACGAAGAGAAGCACTCTGTGGACAGTCCAACATTTCCCTTGTAGACCCTCCCAAATATGCACAATGACCCGTCCTTCAAAGTCCAGCTCATCGAGGAGTTGTAGGCATGGACTCAGAGGCCAGGCTGCCCGGGCTCAAGTCTCATTTCCATCCATCTTCTCATTCATTTTTAGACCTTGGAAATGTCACTTGCCTCTTTGTGCCTCAGTTCCTCCATCAGTAAACTCAGTAAAAAGTCACTATGAGGCAGAAGACAGTAGCATCTGCCTCCAATTGCTAAGGAGATTACATGAGTCAGTGCCTGTAGTCCATGGAGCAACACCTGGCACATGGTTGTGCTTTGAGGACCAGCCCAGCTGCCCTTGACCTCTCCCCTCTCCAAATGCACAGATCATCAATCATCGTTAGCTCCCCGCCTGCTACCCAAGCATCAATGCACACATTTATATTCCCTCCCCAGCAGGAGCTGAGCTGACTCAGGCACTCTCTGATTTTCCCCTCCAGCAGCTGGCCCACTTGGCTGCACACAGTAGGACCCGCAAACATCCCAACTGCATATCCATTGAGGTATATGCTCTCTTCAGAGGGATTCTTTGGCCATCTATTTTGTTTTCCCTTCATTTTCTTTTTCTTTTTTTTCCTTTTTTGAGGCATTTTTAGGAAGGACACAGCTACACATCTTCACAAAGCCTTTTTTCAAATCTTATAAAATTACTGGAGGTGGGAGATGAATGCCCTGTTCTGCTGAAGTCTGGCAAACTGAAGGACACGGCAGCCTCCGCCCGCTTTATAAGAAGCAAAAACAATCACAGCCAAGTTTTGTCGAAATTGCTTACAGATAGCGGCAAGCGAGAAACAGTCAGGGCTCAGGGGAGCTTTGTCTCTAGATGGCATCTCACGGGAACTCAGGGGACCAACAACGCGTGGCTGAGTTTTCATAACGAACCCAGCTCTCCCAGCCCCTTAAGGTGGAGTTGGCCCTGAGAACCTGCACAGAACCCCTTCTGCTCTCTTTCAAGCAAAATACTATGAGGTGTCTTTTCCAGATAAAAAGATGGGCCACCATTCATGATGAACAATTGCTATCTAAATGCATTCAAGCCCATGGGCAAACCCCCTAACCATACCATTTACGTGTTTCTATGGAACATTGTTTTTGCTGTACATCCTGGCAACTTTGTTGCTTTAGATATTTGCCAAATAATTTATATCACAGATTAGTGAGATGCTGTGAAAAGGGTCATGGCTAAGTAAGAGAAAAACTTGCCTTCGTGGTGTCAATGGATTTCCACACTGGTATGAATTCACCAATATCCTGTTTGCTCTGAAACATGACTGACACGCTGTGCATTCGTTTTTAGGTTGCCATCTACCCTTAACTCACAGCTTCACAGATACTGAAGGGGAATTGTGAAGTTCATCCAGCCCAGGAATGGCAGATAGATTCCATCCTCAGAAACATCGCAAGATGATCAATTGATAGTACGTTCCAGAAGCACTGCACTGAGGACACTCAGGCTAAGCCAGGGGTTATTAGTAATATCTGCCATAAGCATGGTGACAGTAGAGTGGCACATGAGCCACTTATTTGCCACTGCAGGCTGTTTAACCTCTCTACTCTGTAGATAAAGAAGCTATATGATGCTCTCAAGATCACACAGACAGCACTGGTAGGAAGGTAACTCTCACATTGCCAGTCGTACTGTCTCTGCTCCCAGCTGTGTGACCCACGCTCGCTCCACCACTGAACAAAATGAGTAGATCAAGCAGGGATATGGGTAATATGGCAGGTGGAGAAAAGGGATGTGAATTAGGGGCTGTGGAAAATTGAGGAAGACCAAGCTCGCAGATAGGAGAGAAGGCTAGGCATGCCAAGCAGGGGCATGCCATCGTTAAGTCATTGTTTGGCTGGAGTTCTGCTGTGTGTCTTGCCCTCCTTTTCTCATGAAGGTAGAGTCTCTGAGCTCCTGGTGAAGAAGGAGTGAGTCAGTGGTAGCAAAAAGTCTCTGAATGGCACAGTCGGGAAGCCTGAATGGCAGTTTGTGACGCTCATAAAGTATGCATACGTGTGGGAGTGCAGGGATCAGCATGCATGTGCTTGTGGAAGGGAACAAGCACTGCTGCCTAGCAAAGGAGAAGCACCATATGCAATAACACACACATATAATACAGATATACCATGTGTGTATGTATATACATAGTATATGTGCATATACAGTATGTGTATGCCTGTATATACATATATACATATACACACAAACATATACACAGTATATGTGCATATACAGTATGTGTATGCCTGTATATACATATACACATATGCACACATACATATACACAGTATATGTGCAAATACAGTATGTGTATGCCTGTATATACATATACACATACATATACACAATATATGTGCGTATACAGTATGTGTATGCCTGTATATACATATACACATATACACACATACATATACACAGTATATGTGCATATACAGTATGTGTATGCCTGTATATATATACACACATATACACACATACATATACACAGTATATGTGCATATACAGTATGTGTATGCCTGTATATATATATACACATATACACATATACATATACACAGTATATGTGCAAATACAGTATGTGTATGCCTGTATATACATATACACATATACACACATACATATACACAGTATATGTGCATATACAGTATGTGTATGCCTGTATATACATATACACATATACACACATACATATACACAGTATATGTGCAAATACAATATGTGTATGCCTGTACATATGTATACACATATACACACACATATATATACTGCAGTCCCCAAAAGTCATTAGGAAACAAAAAACAGAAGGAGCAGGAGTAGGTTGGGCAGCTTAGCTCTGAGATACCTATGACCTGTTAAATGTGGATGTACATGCATAGACGTATATATACACCATATACATATACAGAACCATAAACAATTACATATACATATACATATATATGTATACACACATACATATACTGAAGTCACTGAAGGTCACTGGGAAACAAAACAAAACAACAGAAGGAGCATGAGTAGGTTGGGCAGCTTAGCTTTGAGATATCTCTGACATATTAAATGTGGATGTATACATATGTGTATACATTATATGCACATATACCCTATGTATGTATACATATACACATAGGTATATGGTACATATACATGTATATCGTATACACATACATATACACCATATACACATACAGCACCATGTACATACATATGGTATATGTGCATGTAATGTATATGTGTACACTTATGTACACATACACATACACCCATATAGGTGTACAGCACAATATGCAGCACCACATATAATTCTAGTGGGCCACTGTTTCTTGCCTATCCACCATCCATTTCCTTTCCTCTGGAAACAGCTCTTTAATTTACTTTGAGGAACTACATTTCTTTCACTCTCAGTCCATGTGTTTTCAGGTGAATAGGGCTGACCCTGCCCTGGCTTCAGGAAAAGAAATGTGACCAAGACGTGGCCAACCAGAACATCACAACCCAATGGACACCATGTTTAGTTCAGGGGTAGGCACATGATCTAACGTACGAAATTCAATTTCAAGGTTTTGTTAGCATTATCTTGAAGAGATGCTTTCTCAGGCGACTTCAGACCAGGAGAATGAGGGGAGTTCCTGAGACCTCCACCTTGGGAGGTAGGAAGACATGTGACTGTCTCAGTATATCTAATAAAAGGAAAATGGAGCCACAAGATGCATAGCGATTTGGACACCAGTACATAGCCATTCCTGAAGGCAGAAGTATCCCTTAAATAGTTCCATGAATTAATCCATGAACTATCCCTAAATTAGTTACACGACTCAATTAATTCCCACTGCCCCTCCCCCCTACATTTTTAGAGTTGGATTTCTGTCATTTGCAACAACAATAACAAAGAGAATCTTAGCTAACATAATAAAATAAAGATTCACTTTCCACATAAGACAGACAGAACCTAATGTCCTCCTTGAACCCAAGTTATCTCAAACAGATGTGTTACCTGCAAGGAGCCCTGGATGTCTCTCCCCCCGACAATCACGAGTTCTGCCATATCTTCTGCATGGGGAGTCCGTGCATGGACGAACAGAGTCTTGCCCACTGCAGTTATGTTTCTCAGGGCAACTAAGCCGCCATCGCTGTTCACCTTGAAGTATGGGCTTGAGACCTCATAGCGTGGCTTGTCATTTCCCTTACAGTCACTGAAGGTCACTGGGAAACAAAGAAAACAACAGAAGGATCATGAGTAGGTTGGGCAGCTTAGCTCTGAGATATTTCTGACCTGTTAAGTGTGAATTGCCACATAGTTCTCCACCCCACAGCTCACAAACGCTACCCTTTATCCCACAGCAAGCCGCTTGTACCCAAGTGACTTTGTGCTGATGGACTTCACTCAATCAAGAAATGTCCTTGACGACCTCTCATGTTCCAGGCAGGTGCTAAGCTCTGAGAATGCACACTTGAGTGTGTTCTCAGTAGAGTGAAGAGTCAGATCTGGCAGAGTGACATTTGAGGGAAGTGATCTAATCTTGGCATGTGTGGGTGACTGAGCAGAACCACAGGGTGCTCAGGAGCATTGAAGAGAGCTGACAGAGACGATATTTGAGCTGGGTATTGAAGATAAGCAGGAGATGAGAAGGCTCTTAAGAATGTGGAAGACATTATAGGCTATTCAAAGGTACAGGGATGAGGGCTAAATAGCAAAACAGATTCAGGGAATGAGAATTAACGATATGCATATACATGTATACAGTATATACATATAATACACATGTATATGGTATATACATACATATACACCATATACACATACAGGACCATATACATACATATGGTATATGCATGTAATATATACATGTACACATACCCATATACCATATATGTATACAGCACAATATGCAGCACCATATACAATTCTAATGGGCCACCTTTTCTTGTTTATCCATCATCCATTTCCTTTCTTCTGAAAACAGCTCCTTAATTTACTTTGAGTAACTACATTTCTTTCACGCTCAGTCCATATGGAATAGTCCATATGTTTTTAGGCAAATAGAGGCAAACTTAAAATGGGGCAGGGATGGTGGGAATCTAGAATGGTGGGGATCTAGAAGGGAAGGGTGGAAATGAGGCTGAAAATGTCTTTGGGAGACAAGTTGGGAAAAGTCAGTAAGTTAGGGTGCTTTCTGGTAGCCCTGGACGATTTGTGGTGTGGAGAGGGTCAAGATCAGGTGTGTGCTCTGCTTCCAGTGGAGAGTAGTGCTTCTCAAGGATTGGGGTGCATCAGAATCACACAGGGTGCTATTTTTTTTTTTTTTTTTTTTTTTTGGACAGAGTCTTGCTCTGTCATCCAGACTGGAGTGCAGTGGCATGATCTTGGCTGACTGCAGCCTCTGCCTCCAGGTTCCAGCGATTCTCCTGTCTCAGCCTCCTGGGTAGCTGGGATTATAGGTGCATGCCACCATGCCTGGCTAATTTTTGTATTTTTAGTAGAGATGGGGGTTTCACCATGTTGGCCAGGCTGGTCTCGAACTCCTGACCTCAGGCCTCCCAAAGAACTGAGATTACAGGCATGAGCCCCTGTGCCCGGCCCACAGGATGCTTTTTAAGAATCTGGAGGACTCAATACAAAGATTATAACTTGGCAGATCTGGGTTATACCAAATGATTTAAAGAAGGGCAGGAAGAGAGGCCAAGAGAACCACTTTCAAGTTCAATGTTGTATCAAAGATGGCTGTCCAAAATGAAGGCAGTGGTGCTGATATGGAGAGTGGACAGATGTGAGTAAAGTTCCTGCCGTGGAATGGCTTAGTCATGTGTGGGAAGGAATGGGGAAGATGGGCCCCCTGCATGAACCACATGGAGCACAGAGCATTGACACAAGCAGAGGCTGTGATGGCTGATCGTGCTCCCCTCAATGGTGATTCTGCATGTGGTACACAATTCTATTATTATGGGTATCACAACTCATTATCTGTACATGCATTTGCCTGTCTGCCTTGTGCTGTAAACTTTCAGGCCCCTTATGGGTGAGCAGAGAATTGTACTACGTGCTTTTTGCTCTCTGCTGAACAGGCTCATTTGTTTAGTAAACCTTTAATCGAAGCATAATGTAGACACAGAAAAGTGCATAAATCAGAATATACAACCCAATGAATTTTTACAAAGTAAGCACACCCAACTGCCCAGCACCCAGACCATAACATGACACATTACCAGTCCCCTCCCTTTCTGAGTAAAATTCCTACCCTCTTCCCCAGAGGCTACATTATTCTAGCTTCTAATACCATAGATTTGTTTTACCTACATTTGCACGGCATCTAATGGGATCATACAGTATGCATTCTCTCCTGTTTGGCTTCTTCATTCAACATTACATTCCATGAGATTCATCATGTGACTGTGAGTCACGCTAGTTTATTCTAATCACTATGATAATAATCATTGATCACTGTATAGTATCCAGGTTACCATATTTATCTTAATCATCATATAGTATTCCATTATGTGGCTGTATTGAATCTATTTATCTATTCTACTGTCGATTGGTATCGAGACTATTTCCAGTTTGGGGCTCCAAATATTCTCGCTAGCAACTTTCTTGTATACATGTTTTGGTAACAACAGCTAGATAGGTTCTAGCACACTTAAAGTCAAATATCTGAAAATCTAAGCTCATCTGCATAGATCCTAGCACACTGTGAAAGCCATATAAATATCTGAAAATCTAAACTGGTATTTCTACTCTGGGAATATTATACTTAGGGTGATAATAATCATACTAACTGATAATAATAGTGGATAATTCAGACTGAGCACTTTCCACATTCAAGGATCGGTGCTACACATTTTGCACACATCATCTTAGTTAATCTTTACAAGGACAACAAATGAAGTACTATTTTGATCCCCTTCTCCTACAGTTTCTAGATAAGGAAACTGAGGCTCATAGAGGGCAAAGTTGGTGCCCAATACACACAGGTTGTAAATGATCAGCCAGGATTTGAACCCTGGTCCACTTGTCTCTCGCCACTGCACGTTTTCAATAAAGACAATACCCCATAGAGAATACAATCCTTCTGAAATCCTATCAGAACCTGACTACAGTAGTTCCCCCACCTCCAGGGCTTTGCTTTCGGCAATTCCAGATACCATGGTCAACCCAGGTCTGAAAATATTAAATGGGAAATTCCAGAAATATACAATTGATAAGTTTCAAATTGCGTGCCATTTTGATTATTGTTATAATTGTTCTATTATATCATTAGTTGTTGTTGTTAATATTTTACTGTTCCTAATTTGTAAATTAAACTTTAATATAGCTATGTATGTATAGGACAAATAGCATATATAGGGTTGGGTAGTATCCATGGACGAAGGTATCCACTGTGGGTCTTGGAACACATTCTCTGAGGACAAGCAGGGACTACTGTAGAGAGCTGTGATTGCCCTTCTCAGTCCTGTTTTCATGTTCCTGCATGGTTCGGAAGAGCATTGCATGGTCCGGTGCCTCTTGGTCACTCTGCAAAGGTTCTAAGGCTTTCCGTGGCTAAGTCAGCTTTAGGGCCATTTTGCACAGACACACAAGTGGACTCTGGGGAGCCTGCAGTTCTCAGACACTTGCTCACTTTCTCTAATCATGTTGGTAGCCAAGATTAATTGAACATGCTTAGTTTCAGTTTTTGGAAGTGAACTATGAAGGAGTGACACCAAGGCTGCTTTCATTGTTGTCATCAATTAGTACTCATCCACTGGAGGAAAATTACTCAAATGACAAGGCCTGATGGAAAATTACTGCTTCAACTGCCACCATGAGGTTCTAGCCCTAACCCTTGAACAGAATCAAAGAAGACAGTCTCAGCTGGGGAGTGAACGGGGTAGAGGAAAAGGCATACAAAAGTCTGTAGGGGTTCTAGATTCACAGCTAAGTTCCTTCTTCCTACCCTTTCTTCCTTCCATAAATATTTACTGAGAACCTACATAATGCTAGATGCTGAGGTTATGATGTTGAACAAAGACAGGCACAGTCCCTAGTTTGAAGTCTAATGTGGAAGACAGACATTAATTTAATAATCTTGTAAGTAATTGGGGACCTATTACTTAGGCAGAGAAAACCACAACATATGCAAAGGTCCTGTGGCTTCTACAGAACTGGAAGTAAGCCGGTACGATTGGCACAGACAGCAAGTGAGAATGCAAGGAAGTTAGAATGGAGATAAGCTGAGTCCAGGCAACGTGGGGTTCTAGGGGCCACACAGCCCTGTTCCTTGGAGGAAGCCTTGGATTCTCCTGTTGCAACTATAACACTAGCTTTTCTCCAACTGAGTCTCATATAATTATGGATCTTCATTGCAAAACAATACTTAGCACTCAAGGTCCTCCATGACTAGGCTGTCCATCAGCCTCCCCTCTGCCTTTGTCTTCACTGCGTACCTCACACTTCACCCACTCTTGTGTCTCACTCCTCTACCATCCCACCCTTTGTGTATAGTGCTCCCTCTCTGCAGAAGGCATTTCTCACCTTCTGCACCCTGTTAACTCGTGCGTATTCTTCAAAATTCAACTCAAGCAACTTCTTCAAACATTCTCTTTATGTTCTCAGAATTTCCTGCACATAGAACCTTTTATATCATGTTATATCAATGTGTCCATATTATGTATTTGTTTTTTGCACCAGAACCATGAGCAGAAATTGAGTCTTGTTCTTTCATTCATCTTTACATCTCTGACAATGAACAGAATGTTTTTCCATATGGGAGGCCATCAGTAATAATTCCACTTTGCTCAGTTACTCTCCAGAGCAAAATGATGCTTTAGTAATGGTAGAGGATTGGCGGGGGGGTCTCCCTTCTGTGCTGTGAGCAAGAGGCTTCTGGCAAGCCTGTGAATTGGGATAAGAGGCCCCTAGTGACCTCTTGACTTCATTGAACCCAGCAATAGGGAGTGGAAGGAAATGAAGAACTCAGCCATGCTCTCCCCTTGGCCCCTAGACCCCACGGGCATCCATTTAGAATGGCCCTCAGCCGTTGTGCTTAGCTTTGACCTAGCTCATTGGTGAAGTCAGACATGGTGCCTTATCTGTCCCCATAATGCCAGTAAAACTTGCATAGCCCCAGAGAATGGTTGCAATCAGTGTGTGCATTTTGAATGAAGTGATGCTTGGACAGACAACAGTCATGGCATCTACTATTTATTGAGAGGTCCCTGAGAGCTAG